ATTTGCACTGCAGTGCAGTGCTCTCAGCCGATCATAATGAAGTTATTTTCTTAGTCATATAATAACTACTTGTAAAATCAGTTACATAATACCACAACATTACGATGCACTAAGTTACAGTACATAACATTTAACTATGCTAAAAAACATAGAAAAGGAAACTACAATACATTATACTTACACTACTTACTATAAGGTACCCTACTGTTACTATAGTTATTCTATTTGCAATGAAGTAAAATCTATGGTATGACAGCTAATTACATTACTTAGATGTACTTATGTTGCAAGAATAAAAGAGAAAAGTACAAACATCGAGATACATTTGATGATGAGATAAAAAGTAGAAACATATGCATGGTTTTGCCAATGAGATGTTAATTAAGTGTTAGTTCTCGGTGTATCGTAATGTGAGAGAAAGAGAGAGAAATTTCAGTTCTATTTTCGGGGAAGTATTGCGTGTTTTGCAGACCCAGAAAAACAGTCTGGCGATGAAAAAGTAGAAGTCTAGTCTCTTGTTCTTGTTGGGATTCAATCCTAATACTAAATATGCCGTTAAATTAGTATTTGAAAGTTCTCCATAATTAGCTGCCCATTCCTTAAAATCTTGCCAACAAAGAGTGGATACGTTACAAGTCCAGAAGAGGTGAATGAGAGTCTACGCCGTATCATTTTGGCAAAAAGTGCACTGCTCATTATCCCGTTTTAGGTTTATTTTTGTTAAAAAACTATTGGTCGCTAATCTCCTGTGTAGTAGCTTAAATCGGAGGATAATTAGTTTTGAGATTTTTGTGCACAGAAAAGATGATCGGTAAACTGTGTTTACCGATCAATCGATGTTTTCTTGGGTTTCGAGTCTGCAGTCCGCGATCCATTTTCTTTGAGCTTCGATCAGTTTTTTTCTGCTTTTGCCAACGAAGAATTTTATGTCGAGGAAAAAAGAATTTTGCATGCCAGTCCGTTTGGTTGTTATGTAGGTTTTCTTCGTTGCTTTTCCATTGGGCTTTAATCGCTGATATCACCCCTTGGAAGGTAAGAAAGTTTGTTCTATAAAGTTCGAGAAAGATAGAAAATTCGTCGTATCTTCCATCAGATGACCCACGTTTCCAACTCCTTTTGAAGAACATGATTTATAGTGTATGGGCTTGTTTCTGACTCGTATAAGAGAGTTTGGCCATAGATTTTGCGCTTTTAGCTATTCAATGAAGTGAATATGAGAACTTTGTATCACAAATAAAACATGTTTTAGCGCCCAAGTTGT